GAAAAATACAGTACATATTTATTACAGGAATCATGAGCTGTTGGAGAACTGGAGCATTATTTACTTCAAATATCCTGGCTGATGTTCATCCAGTGACTTATTCAGTGTCAAAATAAAACTTCCACAAGAACACAGGCAAAAGGTTTCAATTATTACCTTATTATAGCAAGCATCATGATACACGTTCTGAAAAGGGATTCTCACTAAATAATACTTTATAACTACTACAACTACCACTGCTACTACTATTACTCCAGAAGGTGTGTGTCCAACTGCTTGGCTGAGTTGTTTACATGAAGAGGAAGTTGGTTTCCACCCTTAATATCTGAGTACTTCAGCTTGATTAGAACCAGTTCACCTTCAGCCAGACTAAAGCGTTTACATGCATTTCTAAAAATCGACTTCAGCCCAACTAAGGCAATAGATCAGTTTACAGACGATGCATGGAAACACACTGATTTTTGATGTGAACCCCTTTTCTCCCAACAAAGACTGTTCAGGAAGCAGTTCAGCTACACCAGTGGTTTCCTCCTTCTCTGCCATGCAGCTGGACTAAAACATCAAACTGCAGTCAGAAAGAGATTGTACCATGAGATAAAAAAGATGTTAATCTGACCATTTAAAACAGAAAAAACTCCAGTTTGAGTTGCAGCCGAGGGCCACAAATGGGCAGCATGCTACACTTTGGACACCCCAGAGACAGAATCTCTCTCACGTACCCTTTGTATTCAAAGCTGTCAGAGTGCTCAGCTTTTACAGAAAATCTCCTGACACCAATCACGTGGGAAAAGCAAACGCCAAAATGTCTCCTGAGCATTTCCAGTTCTCCTGAGAAAGAACCCACTAAAATGCACTCGATGGTTTACCTAAAAGACTCCCTAAAATCACAACAAAATGTCCTTCAAATATGAACCTTTAGGATCGATGAGCGTGGAGGACAGAGAGCCATTTGTTGCATGTGTGTCGCCTTTATCGACATCGGCTTATCTGCCTCAAATCAGGCCAGAGCATCCGAAGTGAGTGTGTCCTTTGTTATATAACATGAAAGGGGGAAAGGGCTACTGTTGGACACACACACACACACACACACACACACACACACACACACACACACACACACACACACACACACACACACACACACACACACACACACACACACACACACACACACACACACACACACACAGGGTATTGATGCCATGCAGAACAAACAAACATGAGCGGTAAACCAATGTGCATGCAACATTTAGAGCTAATTAAAGCCTGGTGCTGTGGAAAAGCTAAAGGAAGAGTCACTTTGAACAGACTTTCATGAAAAAATGGCAGGAGATCAGAATGTTCCTTTTAACATGCAGCCAGAGGGAGGACATATACATCCTGACAGTTTTACATGACACGCATGCATGCACACATTCTGCTGGAACCATGTGACCTCTGCAGCTACCTCTCTGACCCTCATCTTTTGAGGTGAATGCCGCATCCTGGTCCTCTCTAAGTGAGGTGATCTGAATCGGCAGAAATGCCACAACTATAAATCTAGTTGTTAATTGAGCCACAATTCACTGCGTGTATGAACTCATGAAGGTCACCGGTGTTTGTTTACTCTGTCAGAGTGAAGCCGAGGCCTCTCTGTGCCTTTCATTAGACGTGACACGTGTAACCTCAGGCGACACTCTGCATTTCTTATTGTTGCCCGACGGGTCAGAGCAACATGCAAAAAAGCTGCACCTCGAGGAACAAGTGGAGGTGTGTGTGTTTGTGTGTGTGTGTGTTTGTGGGGAAGCTGGATCACTCTGGACTAATTTGGAAAAACTGGAAGGATTTTGGCATTAATCATCTTGTGTTGTCAGAATAATGAGGGACAAACATTCCTGCTTCTTCTCCTAATTTAAGATGGATCAGTCCATGATCATGAATACCACCTCTGAAACTGCATGCAGCACATGAAGTCTTAGTAAAACTTCTGCAGCAGGGATTAATGTCAGCGGGCTAATAACCAAACATGCATGAAGGAAGAGCTGAGCAGAAATGTTGGAACTGTATAATCTCACAGAAATGTTTTTAATCTCAAGGAGGAGAGCTAATCTGCAAAGATGTACTCACAGAGGGAGTCTGTTTAACGCAGCCATAGTGAGTCGTTACTCTGTGGGGCTGTGGTTTGAGGTCCAGGTTAATGGAAGGCACAGTAACAGAGCAGTGTGTGTCAGTGCCTTTAAATTCTCCAAATGAGTGGAAAAACAAAAACGAGGATAGAGGTGAAATATGAAAAAACATGAAATAAAAAGTGGATGAATGAGGAAAAAACCAGAGGGATTAATCGTGGACCCAGTCTTGGGTCAGATGTTTCATCTGGAGAGCATTAGCGGTGAGGACCAGGCAGGAGATGAGTCCCAAAGTAATTCCTGAAGAGCCTCAGTTTGTAGACACAGCTTTCATATCCTACAGGATTGATGTGCTAACTGCTAGCTCAAGTACACCCAAGAACACAATCTGGATCTGCCAGACGAGCCACTTGTTGCAGCTTTTTGCTACTGTCTCGTAAACAATTATGGGATTCGATTCAAAACAGTTGTTTGTGTAAAACTGACGGGTGGAAATATTTATACTTTTACGTCTCCTTATCCACTGAAATTTAGATGATCGGAGCTCTGTTGGGGTGGCTGCACTCCGACTAGCCGTCAATCTGATCAATCCTGAAGAAGTGTGTTGTTTCAGAAGTGACCAGTTATTTTTCTGTTATTGCTTTAAATGAGCTGATTTGAATGACAAACAGAATGTTCTTTTTGATTGAATGAAAAGTATTTTTATTAAATTCATGTAAATCTTACATTTCTATCAGGTTGGTTTAGAAAATTTTGGGTGGTAAATGGCCTGTATTTGTTATAGCTCCTTCTTGGGTCCTAAAACCCCCCAAGGCACTTTACAACATAAACAGCCACTCACCCAGGCACACACACATTCACACACTGGTGTTGATGAGCTACATCATAACCACAGCTGCCCTGGAGCGCACTGACTAAAGTGAATCTGACGTTCAGAAGCGCCACCGGTCCCTCTGACCACCACCAGCAGGCAAGGTGAGTTAAATCTTTTGCCCAAGGACACAATGACTGTAACAGACAGGACTCAAACCTGAAACCGTCTGGTTACAGGGCAGGGACTTAACTCCTCTGCCACCCAAATGAAGGCTTTAAAATGCCTGAAAATGATTTCAAGAAGAACAAAAGATGGAAACGTGAGAAGCACTTTTAGCAACCAAAAACAGCCCAAGAGACTCAGAAAGAGGGGAAAACAAAATGTCATGGAGTTTAAACAAGAAGCTGGTAGAGATGAGAAGCTCCAGATTGAGGAGACAATGAGGCGAGGCAGCTAAGTGAGGGGTTTGATAGTTTGGGATGAAAGCAGTGAGATCTGAGCTCGAGCTGCGTGCTGTTATCTCTAATGATTTCCTGAGGCGAGCAGGCTGAACTCTGGGCCGTGCGTTTAACCCAACTGCAGGGGAGGATGTGTGTTTACATCTAAGTTTTCTCATCTCATGGACTCGTGTCTGATTGACAGCCGTGAAAGTAAAACCAGAGTCAAGCTTTAAGGAGGGGACTCACACACCCAAGCTAAAAGGTCTTCTTTTTCTCTGGAGCAACAAAGATAATTTGGTCGATTTTTTTGTACAGTTTTTGTGTTTATTTCAAATGTTAGGCAAACTTACAGGCACATGGTTACAGAGGAAGGTGATTCACAAAAATACATGAAAAACAAGTGAGAAAATAATAAAGCACAGACGGAAGCACAAACAAATGAAACAAAGAAAAATGGCAAAATTAGAAACAGACATGATGAGCAAAAGCAATACTTGATGAATGTGCATAAATGGATGTCCCATTTGTGTCCTCATTACTGACTCATAAAGGAAATCACACAGCAATAAGAACAGCTCTTATCGGAAAGTGCCACCTCATGACCAATGAGCACTATTACCCGAGTATCTGTCTGTTCCCTAAATGGACCTTTGCACAGTTTTTCCATGTATTCAAATCAATACTCATTTGGAATCCCAGTTGCACCTCCAGGGGACAAACACACACACACACACACACACACACACACACACATGCAATGTGATGGGCCTACGAACACACATTCTAAGTTGGAAGTTGCACATCATGTCTATGAGGAACTTTCCAATCCAAAACTTTTCAAATTTTTCACCAATTGCCTTGGGTGAACCACAGGGCATCGCTCTCGTGCCACTGAAGTTTGGATAATTGGATATTTTAGTTTCTGAAAGAAAGCGCAAGAAATATGAAACAAATTGGTGAGGAGTTGGTGACTGGAGACAAAGGGAATCCGTAATTTTGAGTGTGAATATACAGAGAATAAATACTAAACAACTTTGGACCTAATTCTGACATTTTATGACTAAAATAACTACAAGAAATTTTGCCTAAATGTTCTTTAACCCTCTTTATGGGTCACACCGCAAGGAAAGTTGACCACTGAGCAGGATTGATGGTTTATCCCTTGAGGTTCACATGGCAGAGGTGAGGTGGTGCTCACTCCTCACCCCTGCCACATGGACCCAAGGGATAAACCATCAACCCTGCTCAATGGTCAGCTTTCCTCGCGGGGTCACACCCATTAGGACAGTGGGAGGGTTAAGTGTCTTTGTAGTTTCACGAGTACCAAATATGTCTCGTTGTGACCTTGTGTGTTGTTTTATGTCTAAAACGGATCCTGTGCAACGGAATAGTTGCTCTGATGAAACATTCATCTGAAAGTTGAGGGTTGAGAACTTTTAAACTGTGTTCCAGTTCTACTGAGATAAAGACAGAACTTCCAACTTTGCAACTGGCATGAAAGACAAATGGACTCAAACACAAAACACTCTTTCTCTCTATCTGTCCACCCCCCCCAACACACACACACACACACACACACACACACACACACACACACACACACACACACACACACACACACACACAAACACGTTTCCTCACCTGGAACTGAGGTCTGTCTGAGGCAATCCTGCTCCTCCTCCACTTCCTCCATGGGCTTTCTCCAGACCCAGTTTGGTAAAGATGCCCACCAGCACCATGACGGCAACCACGCCACAGATGATGTAGACAATGAGGTGTGTGCGGTCTCGGTCAGCATCGCCTTGGCCCTCTGTGATGGTGGCCACTGGTTTCCCAGTGTTTGCCCAGATGGGAGTGTCATAGTTGGAGCAGATGGTTTGGTCCAGTCGCTGCTGGCGGAATTGACAGCAGAAGCGATAAAAGCAGGTGCCACAGCAGTACAGAAAGACGCCAGCGTTGCAGTTGAAAGGAGGGTCCCATTGGCCCATTACATCGTAGTATCCCTGACAACGTGTCCCCCCTACTGGAGGGACGTCCTCATCGTCTGCGTCTCCACCACTGGTGGGGGTGGAGAGCCCCGTCTCTGGAGGGGTACTCTGGGTTATCTCCTCATAGCTGGACAAAGTCTGGTTGACCAATGTGGTGGGAGCAATGACTGGGTCACCTTCTGCTACCGTCACCCTGGAGACGGACGAGTCCTGAGACAGGGCTGGCTTCTTAACCAAGACAGACATGAAGAAGAAGAGGATAAGGTGGCAGGATGAAGGGTTGGTGGTTGCCATTGTTCTTAGAAAACCCTTTTCTCTGATGTTCCACCTTCAGTCATCGAACAGGAGCAGGTGACATTTTAGAGACAGATGGAAGATGATAAGACAAAGGTCACCAACAAGAGCATGACATTTTGATTCCTTTATGCACAAAAATCTCACAAAAACAGTGAATTTTTATTTCCTCAACAAGCCAAACTGAGAAAATCCACAATATGTTCTCCGGTGGGAGCAGCAGTAAAGGACCTAAAAACAAACGTTTTACGGCACTTTCCTGTAAAACCACACGATGAGTCTATTGACCCAACTTACTTATGGCATCAATGAAAAAAGCAAAGCTGGGAGCGTTTTCAGCCGATCAGTAAGGATCAATGATGGAAAAATCAAACGTGATTGAAGGTAAAGATGAGGAAAAACACTTAAACAGGTCACTGTGGATTCAAATGAGGAGAAAAAGGCAGAAATAAAACAAACATTTTATTTTAGTAGGTGTCATATCTCACCTTTTTCCCGTTTGTGGTCTGAACCGTCAACCCTTTGCAATTTCTTTTACAAAGTTTCTGGGGAGAGAAATCCTTTCTGAAGTATTCACAAACTCCTCCCAGCAGACGCATTCCTCATGTGTTCTCCATACCAGCTGTGTGCTTGATCTCTGGCATCCAGCACCCCCAAAAAGATCTGATCCTTGTGCTCCTTATAAAAACGGTTCAGTCAGAGATGCTGCCAAGTCCAGTCCAGGGTTTTTTGCAGCAGGTCTCTTTTTATGCTGTGTGTGTTTGAGTGAAAGTAAGTGAGAGTGAGCGGCTGCGCTGAGCGCTGCAACAGTTCAGGATTTAAATGAGATTTCTCCCTCTGTTTACCTCTCAGCAGCACAAGAGAGACACGGGGAGAGGAGGAAGAGGAGAGTTAGTGTGTGTGTGTGTGTGTGTGTGTGTGTCAGAAAGAGATGAGGAGGGGTTACAGCCAGCTGCGTGCCCCCCATTGCACCCAGAGGGGGAAAAGTCCTGAAAGGAGGGAGGATGGAAGAGAGATGAGTAAAATAAAAAGAGGAGGGAAAGCTAAAATGTCAGCTGGAACTGAGTAATTAGCTATCACCATCATGTTGGATTCAGATTTATTATTAAACAAAGGCACTTTTAAAAGAAACTACTTTAGTGTAAAAGTAATGACTAAACATTGAAGTCTCAGTCTGAGGAAAGGTCATTATTGATAAATGATAGGTCGCTATTGCTAAACAAAATGATTTTTCCACCATGGCAGTGTTCTTCCTTTGGTGTCATACCGAAACCGTGGAGAGCTGCAGGTGTTGCGTCGGTTTAGTCTGTGCAGGTGAGTCATTAGTCCTAATGGCTGGGACTGAAACAGGACCTGAGTCCATGTAGTCCACTCAGCCACAGTGAAAGCAATTAAGCCCCTTCTTCTTCATCTCATCGTTTTTTTTTTATTTAAATGGAAAGCTGCTGACTCAGCACTGGCAAAATGAAGACATGCATTCTCAGGACAAGGACGCCATGGATGACCAGCGAGAGGTTACAAGGACTGCTGTGTGGCACAATGGTCTAATTAGATTAATGTGCTCAGGTTTTCTAATGTGATGCTGATGGAGGTGGGGTCATGATCAGTTTGACCCCACAGCCGTATTGGTTCTGGGGTTCTGTCCTTTTATTAGACATAAGGATAAAACACAGCTTAACTCTGCAGTCCAATCCCATATAATTACATTTTAAAGAGCAAGTCACCCCCAAAATCTACTTTTTTTTTGCTGATAAACTACATAAATGTGTGTCTAATTATGCTGTACACACGGTAGTCAATAATTTGGCACTTTAGTGCATCTTAGTTAAAATTTAAATATTCTGCCTAAGCGGTCAGGGTTACGCCTGAAGTGGCTGTAAAGGTCATAAGGTCATCTGTAAGAAGGGTATGGAACTGAATTGTGAATCTTTGGTTTAAAAACCTGTTAGTCTTTAGTCAGTGTCCGTGTGCTGGTTTTCCAATAACCGCAAAGGAATTGTTTGTGCAGTTTATTCCGTGGCAAGCTTAAGTACATTTGATTACATGAACTGTTTGTCAGATAAGCTGACGACCAGCGGTCCAGACTTTTAATACAACTGCCAAAATCAAATTTGGAAAGTTTAATTTGTTATCGGGTGGAGAAGTCCAACTTAATGTCAAAGACTTGGCTCGCCCGTAATGCTTTTCATATCTGAGCCACAAACTGTCATGTTTGGCAGGGGCGATGGTGGCACAGGAGTTAAGTGCTCACCCCGTAATCGGAAGGTTGCAGGTTCGAGCCCCACTCAGTCTGTCGCTGTCGTTGTGTCCTTGGGCAAGACACTTAACCCACGTTGCCTGCTGGTGGTGGTCGGAGGGACCGGTGGCACCAGTGCTCGGCAGCCTCGCCTCTGTCAGTGCGCCCCAGGGCAGCTGTGGCTACATCGTAGTTCATCCCCACCAGTGTGTGAATGTGTGTGTGAATGGGTGAATGACTGATTGTGTTGTAAAGCGCCTTGGGGGGTTCCAGGACTCTAGAAGGCGCAATATCATATACAGGCCATTTGCCATTTGCCATGTTTAAAATGTTGTGTAAGGGCATGTACGCCTTGTGCACGTGACAGAACCGCACAAAAACGTATCTCAGTTTTACGCTTTTACTGATGGCTGTCTGTACGTGTTGATGCTGATTGTCTGACTGTCTGTAATAAAGGCTCCAGTGCTATTTTATAAGCCATCTGGCTCCATCCATTTTCATCCACTTCTCCGGAGTCAGGTCACGGGGGCAGTAGCCTAAGGCGAGAGGCCCAGACTTCCCTCTCCCCAGCCACTTAGGCCAGCTCCTCCGGGGGAATCCCAAGGCGTTCCCTGGCCAGGTGAGAGACATAGTCCCTCCACCGTGTCCTGGGTCTACCTTTAGGTCTCCTCCCGGTTGGACGTGCCCAGAAAACCTCACCAGGGAGGCATCCAGGAGGCATCCTGACCAGATGCCCGAGCCACCTCCTTGGCTCCTCTCGATGTGGGGGAGCAGCGGGTCTACTCCGAGCCCCTCCCGAATTACCGAGCTTCTCACCCTATTCCCAAAATTCCACTATCTCCGCTCCGCTCCGCCCTCGCTTTCCGCTGCAGCTCGCTTCCGAACTCAAATTATACTAGTCTCCGTTCTACAACGGCTCCGCTCCGGTGCGGAGACCTGAGGTACACAAACAGGCATGCGTGGGATTTTCGAAATCTTGCGATACAGTCCGAGCAATAAACGCGGAAGTTAGATCCAAACACCAGTTGTGTGGGAAAAGCATCAAAATGAACTTTTTAATCTGCCCATCATTTGTGTTTAGAGATCAGCAGTGTTTGGATCCACAAAGGGTGACTGCTTTGATAGTAGAAACTGTATTTATGGCAAATTTTTATGCATTTAAAGTTCAGCCGCCATTGATAGTTGTTAAAAGTTGTTAAACTCTGCATATGAAACAAAAAAACGCTTTTTGTTATCGATTTATTGTGAAATAACGGAAGTTGTGCTTGCTCCCTTTCCTGTTGGGCGGTTGTGATTTCTGTCCATTGACTGCGGAGGTGCTCCGGCGTCCGGCAAAAATAGAATCGATCCTTTTTTTGCCGGATGGCGGAACGGCGGGCGGCGCACTGCGCTGCACGGCCACAGTAGTGGAACAGCTCTGATTGACTGCAACGGGACCATTTTTGCTGCGGAGTTTGTGCCGTAGTGGAGCGGACATAGTGGAATTTTGTGGTAACTAAGGGAGAGCCCAGCCACTCTGCGGAGAAAACTCATTTTGGCCGCTTGTATCCGCGATCTCGTTCTTTCGGTCACTACCCAAAGCTCATGACCATAGGTGAGGGTAGGAACGCAGATCGACCGGTAAATCGAGAGCTTCGCCTTCTGACTCAGCTCTCTCTTCACCACGACAGGCCGGTACAACGCCCGCATCACTGCAGATGCAGCACCAATCCACCTATCGATCTCACGCTCCAGTTTTCTCTCACTCGTGAACAAGACCCTGAGATACTTAAACTCCTCCACTTGAGGCAGGACCTCATCCCTGACCCGGAGAAGTCTTTCTCCCCTTTTCCAAATCAAGACCATGGTCTCAGATTTAGAAGAGCTGATTCTCATCCCAGCTGCTTCACACTCGGCCGCAAACCGCTCCAGCGAAAGCTGAAGATCACGTTCTGATGAAGCCAACAGGACCACATCATCTGCAAAAAGCAGAGACTTGATCCTCAGGACACCAAAACGGATGCCCTCCACACCTTGGCTGTGTCTAGAAATCCTGTCCATAAAGGTTATGAACAGAATCGGTGACAAAGGGCAGCCTTGGCGGAGTCCAACTCTCACTGGGAACGAGCCCGACTTACTGCCGGCAATGCGGACCGAGCTCTGACACCGGTCATACAGGGACCTAAACGTGAACTTTTTTATATACATTTCAACTTTATTATTGAAAATTGTCCCAGCTTTTTAAACGCATTTGTTTAACTTAACTTAACTTAACTTAACTTAGTGCTGCTACCTGGAGTTTTACCCTTTCAGGAATTACTGTGTCAGAAATATACTTAAGTTATTGTCTTCTCATATAATGTAGGGCAGCGGTTCACAAACTTATTTAGCCGCGCAACCCTTCTATGTCCCGACCATGTCGACGCACCCCCCAGCCCCACATCAGGGCATGGCTATATATACATACATATATATATATATATATATATATATATATATATATATATATATATATATGTATATATGTATATATATATATATATATATGTATATATATATATATATATATATATATATATATACACATTACCCGTAAATCCTCTAATATTGGCCTATATTCAATTAACGGCCAGGTATCACATTATGGCCGGTGTCGGCGGAGGTGAATAATGGACGGTTTTTTATTGTGGCTGGGTGGAATGTGGTAACAAGCAAGTACCGGGGGAGGGGGGTCAGTTGTGTCATCCGTCTCACTTTTGATTTGCCAGTGATAGACCGCGAGGGAAACTTTAACCATGGCAGGTGCGGAGACGAAGAGGAGGCGAAAATTTGATATCAAGTTCAAAGAGAACGTGCTGATTATGCTGCAGAACACTCTGGGGAGCAGTAGGGGTTGTATGAACTAGTCACTAGTGAACTTCACAGCTCTATAGTGACTTTTTATGCCTGTCATCGACTAGTCGGGAGGCAACGCGCTGTGCCAGAGCATCGGTACTGACACCCGCCGTAAAACGGACATTTAACCAAATTGTGACCTTTACCCTCTTGCAATTTAACCTTCCCCTCACCCCCATCCTAACCTTAACCAGCTTGCGCATGCATGTTGACGCGCTCCAGACATCTGCGTCCTGAGCACGGACACAGTAACATTATCAAATTAGGTGTCACCACCTCAAAAACTAATTTAATACGCGATCGTTCATGTCGGCTCATTTCCTTTTATGTTTTCTGTCTTTTATTTGTGCCTGATGCTTTTCGCTGCTGTGGTGCCTCAGACCGACTTATTGCTGTTTTATGGTGTGGCTGGATCTGTGATCTGCTGCCACGCGGACTGGAATAACAAATCAGAATCAGAATCAGAAGTTTTTATTGCCATATGTGTGCCAAGTCACAACATTAGGAAATTGCTGCGGTATTTTGGTGCAGAAGGTAAGATAGAAAAAATAATTAATTAAGAGATAAGCAAATATAAGAACTAATAAATGCTGCAGTAACATGAGTTGTAGTCAGGTTCGGAGTCACTCGCTGGAGTGGACTCGACTTTAATACGTCATCCCAAAATAGTAGCTAAATATCTTAATTTGACCTTGAATG